CGCAGAGCGGGCAGACGCAGAACGCGCCGCTCTTGCGGGACGAGCAGCCGGGCGCGGACATGGACATCACCAGCGGGGACGGCATGCCCAGCGGGATGAAGAAATCGGGCCCGGGGTGCGGCTCAGGCAGCGAGGGCGCGGGTCGCGAGGAGTCCTTGATGATGAGCGAGTCCACATAGAAGGAGCGCGACATGACGGGCGGGGTGGGTGGCCGGAGGGCCCGGCCGGCGTGGCGCCCCCTCCCCTCTCCTGTTCACGGGGCGGCCCGGGGCGCGGCGCGGATGCGGGCGGTCAAGCCCTTGGGGACGCGGAGGTGTCGGCGTCTGGGCTGCGAACAAAGGGGTCCCTGGAGAGGGCTAGTCCTCACGTCCCCCGCCCGGCGCCCTGGCTCCGGGATTTTATAGCCCCCACCCCGGCACGTGACGCTGCCGAGTACCGCTGGGCTCGGGCTCCTCCGCAGCTCCCCACCCTCGGGATAGGCTGCCCGAGTCACAACACCAGCGGCGAGGAGGGGCGGGAGCGCGGTAGGGAATAACTCGGAGGAGGGGGAGGGGGGAGACTTTGCAAAATGTAGGTTTTGTTAATTTCGCGGGGAGGCCGGCCTCCTCCCCCTCTTCCTCCACGCTTTCCCGAGAAATCGGGGCTGCACCCTCCATTCCACCCCATCTCTAGCCTGGGCCCCAGCCCAACTCTTCCCCGAGCCCGGCCGCAAGGCGCACCAGGTGGAGACTTTGAGGCCTTTTAGACGGGGACGCCCAGTGCTCCCCGCCCCTGTGTGCCAGCCGTGGCTGCGGCGCGGTAAAGTGAGGCCCGCAGTTTGGAGCAGGATTGTGCGGGCAAAGGACTGGCGGCAGCCCAATCCCGGAGCGCGGCTTAGGCCACAGACACACACATGCACACACTCAGAGTCCCCCAGCTTTTGCACTTGGCCAAGGTCATTCAGGTGGCTAGTTCGTGAGGGATCCGGGGCCTAACAGTGAGGCGTCCCGGTAAGAAGCTGACAAGCTTTTCATTCTGATTCTGAGAAGCTCTAAAATGCCTTAGCACTTGGGGCTACTCAGATCAATGACCCTTCTTTGTGCCCCTTTCTAATGGGCAGCTCCCCCTTTGACAGAGAGAGATGTTGAAGTCAGTCACTCTTCTTTCTCCAAATGGTTCTATCACTACATGTCCAGGCCAACCCTACAAAATCCATCCAAAGATTTTGGAGAGAGTACCCAAGCCCTAGCCCTCCAGGAGACTGGGCAGGGGTTGGAAGGCCTTTGCTCTGGGTACCCCTCCCCTATCTCCTGTGTCTTTGCATTCTATAGATCTGGGGCAGCTTGCAGACTAACCAGGAAGCACTGTCCCCTCTGCGCTCATTTAAAATCCCAAAAAGATAAAGGGAATTGAGCCGTTCAAGGAATCCAGCCTCAATGGGAGAAGTGGTTTGGAAAAGGAAATCTATGCGTGGTTACAGGTCCAGTGGAAGACTTGTGGACCAGTGACTTTGTGAGAGAGGTTGGCTCCCAAGATAGGGGCTGTTCATCTTTGGGGAAGGCAAGGTGACAGCTCTCTCCTTTCCCCTGTAGAAAAACCTGTCTGAAGTAGGAAGGATGAGCAGCAGCTACAAATCCGATCTATTTTCCAAAACAGCTAACTTCAGGCCTAACTTCACAGTGGTGCTAAGAAATTTGGGGACAGGACTTCTTCCACCTGTGAGAACCAAGTGCTCAAATCCTAGGGGAGCACCGGCTTCTCAGCTGGAGGCATGGCAGTCTCTCTGTCCTCTTTCTGTCTCCTTTTTCCTTTCCTTCTCTGTGACAATCTCTCTTGCCTGCTAGAGAAGTGTAATTGGGTTGTAGGGATGCCCCGCTCTGGGGAGCCCAGGATTTATGGATGGCAATTAAAGTTTTATGAATTGCAGCTGAGGCTGGTTATTGAGCTATTTGAATGTGATTAGAATTCAATTAGAAAGTGGTTAGTGGACGGTGGGTCTCCAGAGTGTAAACAGACAGCTATTCCAGAAATGTGTTAATCCAACATCTTGTGACAACAATTAAGGAGTCTCAGGGCTTAACTCAGGGCAGCTCAGCTGTAACTACTTTTGTACCACAAGATTTGCCGGTGCAGCCATTGAAGACGCTCAGCCTGCACCTGGCCTGCCTGGTTCAGCCGGACCTCACTGAAATGGGGAGAATCCAGGCAGTCCCTGGGATCATTCCAGCCCCCCCAAAGAAAACTGGGAGCTCCACCATCAAGAGAGGCTTAATGATGGGGTGCTTTTTACAGGCCTAGATTGTCCAAATAGATGACACAATATCCCCTTCACTTTGCAGGTACTATATACATATATGTATATATTTCAAATTATATATTTAAACGATTTTGAAAATATAAATAAAATATATATTACTTGTTCACTTTGCATATATATGTATATATATCCTATTTCTGCCTCTGGGCTAGGTAAAGGTTACCCAAGATCTATTTTAGGCTGAAGGTTTGGGTCACAATGATCCCAGTGGTTCTTGGTGTGCTCACAGGGAGAACTATGCTAATGTGCTGGAAGTTGTTGTTAGGTGAGGACCATTTTATTTTGGAGAATCCTAATTACAAAGCTTGAATATAACTAAATTTATACCTGGCTACAGAAACATGGGGTTGGAATGCTAAGGAATTTTGAGAAAAGTGAGAGGCTCATGGGGTTGCTTAGGGCTGCAAGGGGAGCAGCAGCTTGGGGCCAAACTGAGGTGAAAAGCAGACCATGTCTGAGAAACTTGACTATTAGGGTACTTGGTTAATTGCTTAAGCCCAATAGAAGCAAGTATTGAGGGGCCCTTTTCAACATTAAAGTCTTTCTCTTCTTAGACTTCTCTTTACTTCCCTTTGGATCCCTTGGTGTCTCCCCATCTGTCTGTCTGTCTGTCTGTCTGTCTCTCCTTTCCTCCACTCCAGCCCGCCTTCAGAAGCAGGTCCGACTATGCCGCCAACGCCCCCCCCCCGCCCCCCCAGCCTACC